TAATATATTTTCAAATACATCAACATAGGAGGAAAAAAAAAACAATTTGAAAGCTAAATTTCCTAATACCTTTAAAAGTTATAAATTTAATGGTTGTAGAGCCATTATAAAATTTAAACCCAATATACATGCATGTAATATTTATTTTACATAAATTTAAATAATTAGGAAAAATATATTCAGATTAAACTAAACTTTATTTATTTTATATGTTTTTTCATCACATGCTATATAATTTTCAGTAATAAAAATAACAAATTTTGAGCTGTACAAATTTAAAGCTGTTAGACAAAACAAATTAAAACCTATATTTTGGAAAAAATTCTAATGGTTTATGTTCTAATAATATTAATATATATGTATATATATATAATCTTTAAAAATAGAAAGTATAATTAAAAATAAATATTATAAAAGAATCCCGGGCGTAGCCCGGGCTGACCCTAGTATTATATATAGATACTCTTTCAGTTTTAAATCAATTATCATTCAAGAGTTTTGCACACAATTAAAAACTAGTTAGATGTTCAAATTTATTATTGTTTGACCATTATAGTTGCATAACATTTACTGTTTATCTTATTTTAACTAGGGATAATAAAGATAAATTAATAGAAAAAATATATTCAAATTATAAAAGAATATTATTTTTTATAACAAAAAATTTATGTTACAATGACAATTAATTTGAAATGGAAAGACACTACAAGAAAACACGTCTTTTACTAGGACGGGTTTTCCTCGTTATTTCCTAGTAAACGGTCATTTACTAGGAAATAACGAGGAAACGCGTTTCGTCGAAAGACGTTCATCGTAAAGCATATTTTCCTCGTAATCGCCTAGTTAATTTACGAGGAAAGCTTTCCTCGTAAACGCGTGGAAAAGTTTTCCTCGTAAGGTCCACGTGGGTTTTCCTCGTAAGGGCATAGTAATATGTTTTTTCTCGTAATCTCGTAGTAGACTCTTTACGAGAAACTTGCTAGGAAAGTTTACTAGGAGTTTACTTCGAAATCTTTACGAGGATTTTGCTTCGAAACAATTTTTTCCGATTTAAAAAAAAAATATTTATAAATTAAAATTATATATATTAAAAAAAATTAAAAATAAATAACAAAATATTTATAAATAACTAAATAATATACAATTAATAAGTTTTAAAATTCATAATATACAATTAAAAACTAAAAAAAAACTAAAAGTGATGCTGGTCTTGAAACTGGTGCACGAAGTCGTCGTCTCCAATGTTGGATGCCGGCTGTGACTGAGATGGTGGAGGCTGTTGGGATGGAAGGGCTCCGCTTTCCCGTCTATGACGCAACATCTCCGCCACTTGCGGATTTCCAACCGCCATAATGTCGAGGATATCGGTGAGCGTACTCACATGAGCCTGCGTCGCCTGTAACTCCGTCCGCAGCTGAGCATTGGCATCGGCTTTTTGGTGAACATAAGCCGATGTCACTGCGGGGACATCGTTAACTGAGCCAATCCCGACAATACGGCCCTTTTTCCTAGGGACGACCTGTAAATAAAAATATTAATAACGTAAGGAAAAATTTAAATAAATAATAAAAATTAATATATTAAAACAAATATTTTCTCCAAGTTGCAGATTAAGACAGAGATGTTTTCATGAAGTTGTAGGACAACTTCCACTTTAAGAGTGCGGGTGCTTAGATCCCTAAAAAATGCTTCAATTCCTGTATATTTACAAAAACAAACATTATCCACATTAGTATATATATATGTATAATCATATCATCGTATTATATTAATTAATTACCTGAAAGTGCTTCATGTACTTTTGTCGGTAGTAGCTCCGCAAACGCAAAAGGAAGTGGTCGCTGCATGAAGACATGACAATCATGGCTCTTCATCCCGGAGAACTTTTGCCCTTTCTCAACACATCTTGAGAGATTTGAAACATACCCATCAGGGAACTTCACTTCTGAAGCCACCCAGTTGAACAACGCAGACTTTTTATCTGATGACAGTCTTAATATTGGAACTGGAACTTGCCCATTGCTTTTTATATGTAGCTCACTCCTTGAGAAGATATCAGGTAAGTCTAACCTCGATTTTACGTTGTCTTTCGTCTTCCCTGGGACGTTCAATATAGTGCTCATGATGTTCTCAAAAAAGTTCTTCTCTATATGCATCACATCGAGGTTGTGGCGCAAAAGAAGATCTTTCCAATATGGAAATTCCCAAAATATACTCTTTTTGTGCCAATTGTGCTGAACACCATAAAAATCAGGCATATTACTGGGAACATGCCAATTCCCACCACGAGGAGCTGTTTCTAGAGCACAGTAGTAATCGATTTGCGCTTCGTTCTCCAGTTAAATATGGAGGAGGAGTGTCTCTGACAACCCTTTTGTGCCTGAACAATTTCTTGTTTCTTCGGTATGGGTGGTGGATGGGAATAAATCGACGGTGACAATCGAACCAACTAGTCTTCCTACCATGCTTCAACTGAAACACATTTGTCATTCCATTACAATATGGACAAGCTAATCTCCCATGTGTAGTCAACCCAGACAACATACCATATACAGGAAAGTCACTTATAGTCCACAAAAGCATCGCTTGCATCGTAAAGTTGGTTTTCGTTGAACAATCATATGTCCTCACCCCTGTTGACTACAAATCTTTCAACTCTTTTATCAGTGGTTATAGAAAAACGTCGAGAGATCTTTTTGGATGTTTTGGATCAGGTATTAATATGCTCATGAATAGAAACTCTCGTCGCATGCACATCTCCGGTGGCAGGTTATACGGTGTAAGAAAGACCGGCCACAATGAATATTGTCTCCCAGACATTCCAAATGGACTAAATCCATCAGTGCATAATCCAAGATACACATTCCGGCTATTGCTAGCGAAATGTGGATGTACATTGTTAAAATGTTT